AAATGCTCCTTCACTCCGACGCCTCGGTTTCCGGTGAAGAAGACATCTTCAGGTTAATCTTTTCACAACACAAGGCTACGGTATGCAATTCAATAGAAGGGTAGAGTAAAATTACGATATAGTCATAGTGCAAAAGCAGAACAACATGACTTTAAGAAACTTTATAAATAGGAAGGGCGGGTTTTGAAACTTGAAAAGCCAGTGAAGTCGTAATACTTAATGACAGGGTCCTTTTCATTTAGGATACGTTATAAAAGAGGAAGCAAAATCTCACTTCGGCGGGTGTAGTTGAAATAGGTATAGTTAATACACGTTCCTTCCTTGTTAAGGAGAATATGCAGAAATTCTTTAATGACAAGGCTGATCCGCTCCATTTCATAGTCAACGACGCTGACGTTTTTTCTGCAAAAGGTACTCTTGCACTGTAGCGAACTGCTTCAGATAGTTCTTTATAACAGCGTCTTGCCGTTTTTAATGCTCAGGAAAAGAACACGCATTTCTGAAAAGGACGTTTTCAACCTGCTGATTAATTGCTGCTGCTGTGCTGAACCCAAACAGTTGGAATCGCCTCTTCAAAGGTGAAGCGGATCCACTGCAAATGCGTTCTGAAGCAGATGCCTACATCAGGTAAGGATCGAAATTTAGCGAATTGACCTATGACTGATTAAATCAAACAATTAAAAATAAATGAAGAAAATATGAAGAATAATTTGACTAAATGAACGAACGAGGAAATGAAAGAACGATACGAATAAACAATCAAGCGATAAGATAAACTAGTTTTTGGAAAAGGCTAACTGATTATTGGAAGGCGACCATGCAATGGCCCAGTAGGGTACTTTGGATTTCAAAGCTCACGGATATAAACGTGGGAACTGGCAGAAACACCCGTATTAACTGCAAGTTCTGGTCAGCATTGAATTCACCTCACTTTACCATGCAAAACGCGTCTACAATCAGGTAGCCAGTCGGTTATTAAACTAGGCGGCCTAGCGATCACATCGTAATCTGGTATCTTTACAGTAGGAGGGACGAGATGCAGGGACATTCTGCGTAATGGGATCGCATCGCGGGAGCTGGAGTTTGATTTTCTTACCTTTAACTTCACTACAAATTGCAGACGATATTAAAGGCAGACAAATAAGTCAAATTATAAATACTTTTTGAATTTTCGAAGGACCAGGGTCAAGGTAACAAGCAATCACTTTAATGTTGACAAGAAGTCAATTCGCTTAATCAACCGCTTACCCGTGCTGTCATAGGCAATCACAAATGGTATGAAACGATTGGACGTAGTATTCGAAAACTGCTCACTATATTACGCTTCAAAATCACTTCATTATAGCCCAAGAAACCTAGATAATACAGTAAATATAATGAGGTCAATAACTTACTGCTTTACAGGTGGTATTGCGTTTTACAAATAAATTGGAAATGTAACATCTTATAATAAAAAGGGGTGTGGAATACGCCTTATCGGTAGTAGTTTCGGAAAAATGAAATAAAAATGCAAGTGTACCCTTTCGAGAAAGAATTTAACAACCATTTAATTATTTTCTAGACATTAAGAATCATTGAAAAGAAATGTGCGAAAAAATGTAGAATGTATTGCTAGTCTTCCTGCTAGCATGGGCTTACTGACTGAACCGATGATGAAACGATTCCAAAGAGCCAATCAAATGAACCTTATACTTGAGTCACAGCTCGAAAGCTCTCGGACAATGCGCTCGCAAGAAATAATTAAACAGATTGCCAAAATATCATCGAAACTAGTCTGCTAGTAAAGGAAATTACATAATCTTTTCAAATTAACACTTGAACCATGGATCATTGAGAAAACCATGCATGAGGTCAAATGCTGGTGTTGGGAATCGGTGCAAAACTAGTAACAGGAGGTAATGTTAGAAAAGCAACCTCGATGGAGAATCGCAATCAGAATGCTCACACTAAGGAATCGCATTACATGAACTATAAATAAGATGTTACAGTAGCACACTGAATGCAATGTATTTGGCGGAAAAAGCCTGGAGCTTGCACCTTTAGTTAGGAATCCCTGTTGAAATTGAACAAGAAAAACAAATTCCTCATAACCTGTTTCGTTAGATTCAACATCCTGTTTATCCAACGCTTTTACGCTTCGTTCTACTAAGTGGTTTGTCTACTTTTGGTAATTACGCTCATGCTGCTGCTATGCATTTCTGATCTTTCAACAGAACCATCATGCCGATTTTATTATCCCCTCCATCTTTTAATGGGTTTCGCGGTTCGTTGTTCTCATATTTTATAATTCATCATCGTCATAATGACTTCATATTTTCGGTATCGCTTTTTTTTTCTTTGCGTCTAGTTGCCCGTAGTTACTTTTCCCGTAACCTAAGAAATGAAAAGAGACTATATAGAAGTATCTCACTGAAAAGCAAGGAGTCAATGGCTCATATAAGGAAAGACGGTTAAAAATCCTGGAAACGGACACAGAAGAACAGAAAATCACTTAGCTTATGAATAAATGTGCAGGAGCAACGATGATATGTTCATTTCTGTTGACGTTTTCAACGTCGACATAAACGCCAAACCCAACAACGTCTTGCGAATAAACGGTGAGCAGCGAAGCGTCAGCGGGCGCTTCATTTCGTTCGCCACTGTAATCCGATGGCCAAAAGCAAGAAGGGGGTTTCTCCTGAAAAAAACGACTGAGGATGCTCTGTTAACAGTACTTATCTTAATGCTGCATTTACCTTGTTATTTGAGTTGAACAATCGCTGATCTTCTGTGATACTGCATGATCCAGGTTTGGCAATGCCCAAGATAGTAACTGCGTTATTTAGCCAATCGACGTGCGGAGCAATCTTCCCATACAAGCTAATGGAACGCGATTCGGCGTAGCACGTTTGGGCAGAGGAGATGCCAGCAAGAACGGTGGTCTGTTTTCTCGTAGGTCCCACATGGGACAATGGGCAGAACAACGGTTGCCCTGCCGAACTTATCTACAGTCAGAAACAGCTTCATTTTCACGTAGGTCACAAGATGCTTTATAAACTAATGCCAAAATTGCAGTGAAACTCCAATGAACAAATAACGGAGCTGTATTAAAAGCTAAAAACGTCACTGAAGATAAGTGCATGGTAAAAATGGATTTGCGGTCTGAAAAAGTCACCCGAGTTGCTTCTAGCTTGAGAAACCTTACAAAGCCGCTTTTGACTGGTGCAGCACCTCGAAAAAGGAAAATCTGAATTAAGGCTGTCAAATAATGACAGTCGATGATATGTCGATGCTATGCAGCGGATGACTGGAACAGAAATTCCTTTACCACTCAACAGTTAGCGGCATGATGAAGCAAACACGGCGAGTGTCGAACTTGGAGAACAAAAATATCAGTCGAATAAGCACTGACGACAATCACCGAGAAACATAATATGGTTAGCAGTAAAATCAGAATGAAGTACGTAGAGTATCATTCGTACACCATAGCGAACTGGTAGAAGCAAATAATATATTCGCTTATAACCGACCTTTACAGTCAGAGCAAATAACAGGCAATGAACAAAGCATAAAATTAAAGTTCGTGTCGCTAACCAGAGACGAAAACACGACAAATTTTAATTCGGTCGATCAGTAGTTGTAATTCAAGACTCGTTACTGTGCATCCTGATGAAATGGGATTCTCAAGCAACAAGCCATTGAAATGATTTGGTTCGAACACCC